AATAAAAATTTGCTCTGAGATAAATAGCTTCGCTATTTATCGAATGAGATATGAGACAACGTCTCATATCGATTTGAGATTGAACTTAAAAAGTTCTATCGATACGAAAGTGAGGGAAATAAAAGCTCGCGTCAACGTAACACAAGGTAGTGGAGAGCCAATACGATAGTTTCCCCTCGCTTTCGTAAGAAAGTGTTGAGATATAAAAAGTACAGATCTACAAATTCAAAAACTCTATACGTTAATGCCATTTTTTTGTCAATTTTCCATGTAACAAAGAAAATTACCGCACCGTAACGAGGTGTATATGTGAAATTATAAAATTAAATGATAATTTCATAGTGAATGAAAAAAAGGGATCATGTGAGCGCCATTTTTTGAGTAAATTTTACTGCGTATTATGACGCAGTAAGATGCAGTAAGAGATATTTTTTGTAAATTTACTAATTAAATGTGATATAAAGCACGTGATCGCCATTTTTTGTTAAAAATTCGATGTAATCACAAAATTAACACACCAAAAAAATTAAAAAGTGAAATACAATGAAATTAATAATAAAAGTATAAAATTAATAATATATTTTTTTATAAAATAATACATAAAGTGTTTTATTAATATAAAATGTCTGGAGGTAACAAGTTTTTACATATTTGCTATACATCGTATCATTGTTATGAGTATCGAAAATCATTTAGATGTAAGCAAAGAAATAAAGAATCGCCAGAAGAAAGAGAAAAATTGAATAAGGAAGATAAAGTTCCGATTTGTGATTTGTGTAAAATAAAACATTTTAGATGTAAAGGAAAAAAATGTAAGATGTGTTGTAAAAAGAATGATTGTAGTACATATCCTTGTAATTATTGTGTAGAAAATGATCTTGAATGTAAATATACTATTATACAGAGTGATGAAGAATTTAAAAAATTTAAAAAGAAAGGAATGATATATTTTGGTGGACAACTTGAGAATACTAAGAATGGAAAAGTTCATGTTCAGGGATATTGTCAATTTAAGAATAGAATAACAAGAAAA